CTTTCCCTCTGCTGAAGCAGAGGTCAGAGAGGACCCCAGCCTGGCCCGGTCACATATGTCATACAAGCTAGTATGTTACTGAGGATATCAGCTGGGCCTCCACCTACCTATTCCCAACTGGGAAGTGGATTGGGAGCATGGGGGACTCAGGTACCACTTTCCACTGTGACTAGAAGCCCATGTCAGGGCCAAGTGGTGTGGTGTGCAGGACGGGGCCCCCTGGCTTGGCAGGAACACGAGATAGCAGCTCCTTCATGGCTGGCCACCTAACCCCATCAGGAGGCAGAGAACTGAAGATGCCTCAGAGATGTGTTTGGAAAGTGATTTCACTTGGTCTTTCTGTCTCCTCCTTCAGTGTGATCCTTACATCAAGATCTCCATAGGGAAGAAATCGGTGAGTGACCAGGATAACTACATTCCCTGTACTCTGGAGCCTGTGTTTGGAAAGTAAGTTGCGGGCAACCTGGGTCTTTGGGTGGAGGAGGTGCCAGTCTGGATAACCCACAGCCCAGTTGGGGAGATGCAGCTGCCACTGGGAAGCCCCTGGCTTCTAGAACAAAGCTGCGTTCCCTAAATCTTGCATATCTGGGGAGAGGGGAGGAGCATAACTTCAGCTAGTTCTTCATTATGTGTGCTAAAGGTTGGAGTCCTGGCAGAATCTCCTAGTTAAACATGTAAACAACCACCTCAAAGATCAGAAATCTAAATGGAAACCCAGAACACGTATTTGCTAATTATTCTCTCTCTTTTTTTTAAGATTATCTTTTCTTTTGGGATAATTTTAGGTTTACAGAAAAGTTACAAAGATGGTACCATTTCCATATGCCCTTCTCTCAATTTCCCCTACTGTCGACATCTTACCAAAAACCATGATCTATTTGTCAAAACTAAATAACTGATAGTGGTGCATTACTATTTACTAAACTCTAGACTTCATTAGTTTTTGCCAATTTTCCCATTGATGTCCTTTTATGGTTCTAGGCTCTAATCCAGGATCCCACATTGCATTTAGTGATTATGATTTTATGGTTGCACATTCATCTGATGTGGATATAGATAGAGGGAAGACATGGACTTAAGATAGTAAAAAGCTTCTTGAAATCTCAGAGCAGAGAAAGGAAGGGTCAGAGCCCACTGCATGCGAGTAGGTCCCAGGCATCCTGACTTCTGCTGTTTGGATGCGAGCTTAATCAGGCTGAAGAAAGGAAAATTATAGAGGGAGATCGGAGGCTATTTCTCTAGCCCTTGTAGGGGAAGGCGGGGGGCGTTCTGATGCTATCGAGTGACACATTGAATTCATAAACCTGTGTCTATCAAGTTGGTTGTGGTCACTCAGCCCTGCAGCAAGGACCCAATCAGCCTGGGGGAGTGCCATTTTTGAAGGTGAAATGGTCTTGGCCAGTGATGAGCCACCACCAAGCTGGAATTGGAGGGAAAGGCTGCAGGGAAGATGGCAGACGGGAGCTCTATTCGGTGAGCTCCAGTGGCTGGCGTGGGGGCACAGGCTCACAGTGACTGGGCAGCAGGGTGGATCTGTTCCACGATGGGGGTGTGGAGGTCAGGACCCAGGACCAGGTGGGGGAGCAAGTGCAGAAACACACACTTCCCACTTTGTTTACCATCTTCCCCAAATCATGGCCAAGCTGGTCTGCCTGGGGTCTCAAGCCTCCCTCAGGTCACAGCAGAAACCTTTTCTTTCGAACAAGCATAACCAAAAGGATATAATCAAAACACAACTTTGTTTTTGTCTGCCAGTATCCCATAAACATTTATTCGTGGGGGTTATCTTCCCTGTTCCCTGAGTGGAAACTGTGGCAGGCAGGCGGGCAGTTTTTCTGCTCACATTTAGACAGTCCACTTTGTCATAAACCCACAGTCCCAACTTGGTAACCAGAATGCCCACTGATGTGTAATTATGAACACCCCGGATGGCTGGAGGGCAGTCATTCCCCTCTCCCGGCTGGTCCACTTTGGGCATAGCTGTGTACAGCATGAGGATGTGCGTGTGGAGGGAAGGCTTTTCCTCCCTCCCTCTCTCTGCCTAGTGTCTCTCCTCTCCCACTCTCTGGCTCCCTTGTTGGAGCCCCAGGTCCCATGGGGCAGGACTGAGAGCTGCTCCAGTCTGGCCTTGTGTTGGCCTAGCCAGGATGGGAGGAAAGTGGCTCCTCCCTCTCTCCTCCTCGCTACCACAAGCTGCTTTCACTTCCTTGAGTGTGAGTTGGATGCTAGTCTTGCATCTCCCTTCTGCAAGGAAATGAAGGAGAAGGGCCAGCACCTCCACATTTGACCCCCATAGGGCTGGTGGGTCTCAGAGCACAGCAGGAGCTCTCTCCAAAGAAATTTCTTCACAAACCCTCTCTCCATCCCACTGCAGAAGTAGGTGTGAAGCCCCAAGAGGCCTGAGAGTGGGTCCCAGGCCACCCTCTGCTGAATTCCAGAGCTCTGGCACTTTGTTCTGGAGTTTCACATCTCTCGTCTCCTGGTGTAAACTTCAGTTTTAATGTCTCTTCCAATTCA